ATGAAAACAATTATGAAACACTTCAAACAACGCAGTGCAGAATGAACTGCTGAATCAGATTAATTGTACGTCAGAGGAATTGGATTGTGGTATTGTAGAGGACAATGAAGAACTGACGACGGAAATAACGCTGAACCATAACTGAGGTTGTTGAAGTTATAAGCGTTCAAATGGGCGAGCATGGTTGTATAATACGGTATTGGAGAAAGATATGATGATTGCACTATGCAATCATTCGGATTTGGCGAAGATAGTGGATTGAAGAGATGATTCAGCAAATTGCTACTGAATAAGGTTGTATGATTGAAAGGATAGATAGGATTTGGATATGGAAATAATGACTGACTCAATGGTAAGTTGAAATCGAGACCGAATGAGCTTCGTTGAATGAGATTATCGAAGTTGAAGAATACAGATGGTGGAATGAATGTGTAGGCAGAACAAGGATGTAATCTCGTTAAGTGAATACCAAATGCACAAAGCATTGCGAGATGTTGTAGGAGATCAATCGGTAAGTGGTTTAGAAGACACGAAATGTGTTGTATCGGGCTCGTCACCATCAACTCGCGACATTCGTTGACCATCTCATCATAGCTTGAGCTTCTCCGTCGATCTTCGTGAATATCTGTTGTTTTATCGTTATTCTCCGAATATTCAATCGAATCATTTAAATTCGGCGAAATATTCGGCATGATTGCAAGCTGATAACCAGAACTGACAGCTGAATCAGATGCGATCACACTACTGTTGTTCGCTGCACGTGAACATTCATTGATTGGTTCTGCGCTGGAATAATCGTCAAAATAAGGTTTCGTAGAAACCGTCCTGTCGAGAGTGTCCTTCTCAGGCAAATTCACCTTCCAGTCTAACGCTATCTGAACGTTTAATCATTGTTTTGCGTCACTGGACAAAGATATACTAATTGACGTCAAACTATAATATTTCACGACGACAAAACAAGCCTAAAAGATTCACAGGAATAGTTCTGAAATAACGCTCGCCTGATTAAAAGTTATGTAAATAAAACACTCATATCGAAATTTTCCCTCACTATCACCATGAAATTTTCAGCTTTCATAAGGGACTCAGAAAACGAATCGTAACCAATCATGGTAATCAACCTTCAACATTCAACCAACGAAACTGTTCACACTGAAATGTTCAGTTTTTTCTGCTGCTAAGTGTTCACAGTTCATTACCATTCAGAGGAAGCATGATTGTGGCCTGGGACGGCAATATTCATCGAACTATCTCTTACGGTCGAAGTCGATCCATTGCACTGAGATAAATATTCTGAAATCCTAATCCACTACTGTAAGGAATCCGGAATCGTATCCACTGCAAACGACTCGGAAAAGCTTTCGAAAAGATTATCATCGGTAACATTTCAATAGACGAATACAAAACTTCATTGCTGCCATAGAAGAGCATAATCGACGACGCAAGAACAACTTGAAAGGTGGGATCAGGATGGAAACTAATCGAACTTATAGGACTGACGAAATTAAATGCATTCCATCAGTTCATTTATGTGCTCTTCCTAGTTCACTATGCATATCCTTTTTAGCATTAATCATAAAGTGAAAAATAAGCGAAAAACATCACCTTTGAGAGCAGAAGGATTTTGTGTGATGTATCTTGCAGCCTCGGTCATTTTCTCGAAACGATAAACGTGTTTCGTGCCACGAACCTAGAAAACAAAAACTGCTTTCATTCGCATTTTTCTCATAGGCGTCAATCTAGAACGAACCCTTCCGGATCGTAACNAAAACAATCAAGAACATCCGAAATTTCTGGTATGAACAACAGATCTTTTCGTGCGATTTCATTTGAGCTACTTACGATTAATAACATCGGGATTACAGCGAAATCTGGAAGCGAAATGATCAAAATTTTCGTTAAAAAAAACTTCACTTCTGAGAACAATTCTTCCTGATCAAAATTTGCACGAAACGCTCGATAAAGAGAACCTTCTTAATAATTCCCTTGCTGTAGTAGTATCGCAATGCTCTTGAAAGCTTATCGTAATTCATCTTCGGCTTATGCTTGTACGTACCCCACAGGTTGGCCACTCTCTCCGGATCCGTGAACTGTAACGAATGTAATGCTGCATGCATTTTCATTACTCTTTGCGTTTCTCTTTCTACAGTCGTGGAGAAGTAGTTGCGATTTCAACAAATTCCTCAGAGTTGAAGCTGGTAATTGAAAAGTGGTATGTTGAAATTCTCCTTCAAAGTAAAATACTGCGACCATACGTGATACGTGATAGATAACAATGCTCAGGGTGAAATGCTTAGCAACATTTGAAACATATCTAGAAATGTCTGAACAACAATATTCGCCCAAATGGAGTACCTCATCACATTCCCAAACATACTTGACTTGAAAACGGAAGTTTCCAATGGAGCCTTCCTCGGTGGGCAAAATCACCCATGGAACAAAAGCATATTGAAGAACAGAGAGTGAGCAATGCGAATGCACCACAAATAGTATGCTTATGCCATAAGGAAATGAGACAAAAAACACTTCGTTCACCTGGAATTCACCAACCGTCTTCCCGGTCCAAACGATACAATCCGTATGCTTACCGTCGACCAGTAACTCCAGTATAAATCTCCACAACGGAACATTTGATGCTCCATCCATAGTGCTCCGTTATCTAAATGTTGAAGTGATTATTGCTTGAAAAGCGAAGCACTGAACAAATCGGAAACATAACCACGCATTGCGAAACACTTCAACTCGACAGTGTCACTTCATAGAAGCAATCAACAATATCTATTATACTTCCAAATGTTTCATGCATTTCCCATCCCTCTTACTCGTTACTTCATATTCTGTGTGTTATTTCGCGCCCTCATCATATTACCGCATTTCACGATGATCAATGGAACTGATCATTCAGTATCTGCTTCTCGGTGATTTCACGTAAAGATTGATTGATTTCGTATCATCTCGCTGAGGATCGACGCTTGAAATTGACAAGTTCGAATTACTGACTGCTATTTTTTGAAGAAGAACATACCAGAAGTGAATAAATAGCTCAGTTACGAAGGAATGGATAGTCATTTCGGAGGAGGATGTCATATGAGAATGTGATGTGTTGCGGGTGAATGTACGAACTCGGTAATTCTTTCGAATGCTCATCATGGCTGTTTACATGTGATTTTCCAGAGTTTCTGCAAAAATTTCATTTTTATGGGATCATGTTCATGAAATAAGGCAGTGATAGAATATCAAATTGAGTTTGCCCAACCATTATTCCCTTGTCATTATTGTATTGCTGAATGTGTTTGTTAGCATTTAATCTATTAGCATCTATTAATCAGTTATTTAGACCACAGCTATTGTCTTCTCTTTTTTCCCGACTTTGATTTATAAATCGAGTGATCATTGATATGATCAGCGTACTGTTAATCATTGATCAGAAGTCATTTGCTAAAAGGCATGCTCGGTTTTGCTGACTGTAAGGTTAGCGTATTTAAACTGAGCCTTATTTCTCCACGTCGAACTGTTGGAATGTTTAGGAGCCTTTTCGAAGCTCTAGTGCATCACTTATAGCTACCGTTCAGCTGCCGCTTGGGATTGATTATGACTCATACTCTGACTACATATGGTCGTGATTCCTGTAAGAGTATTCGACTGCATACGATCTGATTTTTCGTCAACGTTTTCTCAGCATTTTGTTCTGTTCCATGCGTTTGTGAGCATCGGTTTGCTTCACACGAGTTTCAAAGTACACATTTCATTCCACATTGCGCCGAAGGCAATGCTCCTTTTTATTGATGTGTTTGAAAGTACTCGTGCATACGGTATTCAGTATCGTCAATGATGGATTTCGTACTCACTTGAATAACGATTCAATTAATGAATGATTGAATTGTTGTTCTAGTTTGTCAGAATACAAAAGTGAATATCTAACCAGCAACAACACATTCTGATTGAAACAAATCGTAAATTGCGATGTCTTCGCCCCCACCGTCATTTCCAAGTGTATCATTTTCTTCAGAAAGTAAGTGCTAATCACTTCAAAGAGTTGATGACTTCCTGAATTCAGATATTTCTGCATAAAATTTTGACTGTTTCTATCTAGCAATAAGAATGAACTTTATCGGTCTGAAAGCTGAGAATCTCG